ACCACACACAAAAACAGACTCAAAGTGGATGAAAGACCTCAATGTGAAACAGGAATCCATCAAAATCCTTGAGGAGAACACAGGCAGCAACCTCTTCAACCTCAGCCACAGCAACTTCTTCCTAAAAACATCACCAAAGGCAAGGGAAGCAAGGGCAAAAATGAACTACCAGGACTTCATCAAGATAAAAAGCTTTTTTGCACACCAAGGGAAAGAGTCAGCAAAACCAAAAGACAACTGACAGAATGGGAGAAGATATTTGCAAATGACATATCAGATAAAGGGCTAGTATCCAAAATCTGTAAAGAACTTCTCAAACTCAACACCCAAAGAACAAATAATCTAAACAAGAAATGGGCAGAGGACATGAACAGACATTTCTGCAAAGAAGACATCCAGATGGCCAACAGACACATGAAAAAGTGCTCCACATCACTTGGCATCAGTGAAATACAAATCAAAAACCACAGTGAGATACCACCTCACACCAGTCAGAATGGCTAAAATTAACAAGTAAGGAAATGACAGGTGTTGGCGAGGATGTGGAGAAAGGGGAACCCTCCTACACTGTTGGTAGGAGTGCAAGCTGGAGCAGCCACTGTGGAAAACAGCATGGAGGTTCCTCAAAAAGTTGAAAATAGAGCTACCCTATGACCCAGCAATCGCACTACTGGGTATTTACCCTAAAGATACAAATGTAGTGATCTGAAGGGGCAAATACACCCTAATGTTATAGCAGCAATGTTCACAATATCCAAACTCTGGAAAGAGTTTGAATGAATTAATGAATGAATGAATGAATGAATAAAGAAGATGTGGTATGTATGTGTGTGTGTGTGTGTATGAATATTATGCAGCCATAAAAAAAAACCCTGAAATCTTGCCATTTGCAATGACATGGATGGAACTAGAGGGTATTATGCTAAGCTAAATAAGTCAATCAGAGAAAGACAATTATCATATCATCTCCCTGATATGATGAATTGAAGAGGCAGAGTGGGAGGTTTGAGGGGTAGGGAAGGCAAAAATGAAACAAGATGGGACTGGGAGGGAGACATACCATAAAAGACTCTTAATCTCAGGAAACAAACTGAGGGTTGCTGGGGGTTGGGAGGGTTAGAGATATATGGTGGTTCGGTTATGGACATTGGAGAGGGTATGTGATATGGTGAGTGGTATAAAGTGTGTAAGCCTGAGGATTCACAAACCTGTACCCCAGGGGTACAAACCTGTACCCCTGGGGCATAATAATAATACGTTATATGTTAATAAAAATAATTTTTTTAAAAGAGTAAAGAACATGACCTAACAAGGTACAAAAAAAGAACTTAAAGTAATTGACTGATATATTAAAAATATTTACTTCAACATGATGCACCCAGCTTTGGTTTTCTTTTTCAACATTTACTTGGCAATTCAGGGTCTTTTCTGGTTCCACACAAATTTTACAATTGTTTGTTCCAGCTCTTTTAAAAATGTCATTGGCATTTTGATTGGAATGGTGTTGAGAAGTATAGATTGCTCTGGGCAGCACAGACATTTTAACACTGTTTATTCTTCCAATCATGAGCATAGACTGTTTTTCCACCTTTTCATGTCTTCTTCAATTTCTTTTGTAATTGTTCTGTAGTTTCTAGAGTATAGAACATTTACCTCGTAGGTTGGGTTTATTCCAAGGTATCTTTCAGTTTTTGGTGTTATTTTAAATGAAACTGGTTCTCTAATTTCTCTTTCTACAGTTAGATTGTTAGCATACAGTAAAGCAACTGATCTGTGCACTGATTTTGTATCCTGCCACATTACTGAATTGCTGTATGAGTTCTAGCAATTTGGGGGTGAAGTCTTTTGGGTTTTCCACATAAAGTATCACATTGCCTGATTCAAGCTATATCACAAAGCTGTGATCACCAAGACAGCATGATACTGGCACAAAAACAGATACACAGATCAATGGAACAGAATAGAGAGCCCAGATATGAATCCTCAACTCTATGGTCAACTAATCTTCAACAAAGCAGGACAAAATATCCAATGGAGAAAAGACAGTCTCTTAAAAAAATGGTGCTGGGAAAACTGGACAGCAATATACAGAAGAACGAAACTTGACCATTCTCTTACACCATAAACAAAGATAAACTCTAAATGGATAAAAGACCTCAATGTGACATGGGAATCCACCAAAATCCTTGTGGAGAACATAGGAAGTGACCTCTTCAACACTGGACATAGCAACTTCTTTCAAGCGAAACAAAAGCAAAAATGAACACTGAGACTTCATTAAGATAAAAAGCTTCTGCACAGCAAAGGAAATAGTCAACAAAATAAAGAGGCAATCCATGGAATGAGAGAGGATATTTGCAAATGACAAGAACTTCTCAAACTCAACAACCCAAAAAACAAATAATCAAGTCAAAAAATGGGCAGAGGACATGAACAGACACTTCTCCAAAGAAGACATATGAATGGCTAACAGACACATGAAAAAATGTCCAACATCATTAGCCATTAGGGAAATTCAGATCAGAACCACACTGAGATACCACCTTACACCAGTTTGAATGGAAAAAATTAACAAGGCAGGAAACAACAAATGTTGGAGACAATATGGAGAAAGGGGAACCCTCTTACACTGTTGGTGGGAATGCAAATTGGTAAAGCCACTGTGGAAAACAGTATGGAGGTTCCTCAGAAAGTTAAAAGTAGAGCTACCGAATGACCCAGCAATCCCACTAATGGGTATTTAGACCCAAAGGCACAGATGTAGTGAAAAGAAGGGGCATATGCACCCCAATGTTCATAGCAGCAATGTCCACAATAGCCAAACTGTGGAAGGAGCCGAGAAGCCCTTCAACAGATGAATGGATAAAGAAGATGTGATCCATATATGCAATGGAATATTACTCAGTCATCAAAAAGGAAGAATACCCACCACTTGCATTGACATGGAAGAAATGAAGGGGACTAAACTAAGTGAAATAAGTCAAGCAGAGAAAGACAACTATTATATGATTTCACTTATATGTGGAAGATATGGAATAACATGGAGGACATTAGGAGAAGGAAGGGAAAAATGAAGGGAGGGTAATTAAAGGGGGAGATGAACCATGAGAGACTATGCACTCTGGGAAACAAACTGAGGGTTTCAGAGGGGAGGAAGGTAGGGGGATGCATTGGCTGGTGATGGGTATTAAGGAGGGCACATATTGCAATGAGCACTGGGTGTTATATGCAAACACTGAATCATGGAACATGACATCAAGGACTAATGAAGTACTGTATGGTGACTAACATAACATAGTAAGAAAATATACCTACTTCAGTAAAAATCAAAGCAGTTCAAATTTTTTAAATAAAGTACATTTTAAACAAGAAATGTGACAACTATTTATTTTTAAAGATTTTACCTATTTACTTGAGAGATAGAGCATATGTGTGTACATGTGTGCAAGGGGGAGGGAGAGAGGGAAGTGGGGAAGAAGACTCCCTGCTGAGCAGGTAGCCTGGATCGCAGGACCCAGGATCATGACCTGAGCCAAAGGTAGATGCTTAACCGACTGGGCCACCCAGGCACCCCAATAACTATTTAAATGTAATAATAACAATAATTTATTATCATATCCAGTGCTGGAATACAGAGAAATGGCTAATGATGGAAGTATAAATGACTATACCATCTACTGAAAGCACTGTTTCCTTAGAGTTTTATATATCCTTTGACTCAGTTATTTCAAACTAGACATCCATCCTAGAGAAATAATTATAGGGCGCCTGGGTGGCTCGGTTGGGCGACTGCCTTTAGCTCAGGTCATCCTGGAGTCCCAAGATCGAGTCCTGCATCAGGCTCCCTGCTCGGCAGGTAATCTGCTTCTCCTGCTGACCTCTCTCCTCTTATGCTCTCTTTCTCTCACTCATTCTCTCTCAAATAAATAAAATCTTTAAAAAAGATTCTGGAAAAAAAATCATGTTTTCAAAGATGTATTAACTTTAGCACCATTTACAATAGCAAAAATGGAAATAATCTTCCATCATTAAAGCAGTAGATAAATTATAAAAGCCACATATAATTAGATAAATAATTTATAATAAAACCACAAAAACTATATTAAAGAAGAATATATAATGACATGGAAATGTCTGTAGGTTACATGCAAGTCATAAAAGAGCACGCATAGTATGATTCTACCTATACATCTAGAAAGACAAACACTGGGTTTCTATTGACTATACTTAAAAATTTTCTGTTATTCTTGAATATGAACAAAATAAGTTGTTAACAGGAAAATGAATAATTTTGCCAAATTAAAGATAAATCAGGCAAAAATTTCCATTAGATTTGACAATATGGAACTATATTTGAAATTTCTAAGTAGTAGAAGAAAAAAGTCCTACTATAGTAGGCTATGAAGTAAATAGGAGTGAGAAAAAATGAAACCATACTATTTTTCAAGAAGTTTGCCCAGATATTGAAAAAAAATTAGAACAAGTATAATACTGCATACAATTATTTATCTGTCTATGTACTCCATTAACCATGAGATCCTCCTCAAGGGCCAGATCTATATGTTTTCACTTTTGTATCTATTATTAGTGCTTACCATAATGCCAGCCACATAGAATGTGAAAAGATGGGCAGTAATCACCTAAGCAATTACTTTCATTCTCCACCATATTTTGCTAAACAACTAGAGTCAGCTGATTACAACAACCATAATAAATTACTAGTCATTATGAGGTATCTGAAACCCATAAAAACCAAGACTTTTAGATACTAGTAAAGAACAGACTTGTAGCAATTATGTCTCATTAAACCAAATTAACCAAATATTAAGGCTTAATACTGCCATACCTATGAGATCTGACTATAACTTTCTACAACATACTTTCCTACTAAATCATTTATGGGATTTATAGGAAAAAACCCTCACTTCCCCCTAAGATTAAAATGACAAAATATTTCACTAGTCATAAAAAAGTCCGATAAGACTAAAATTCTAACTTACATCCTCAGCATTTGGAATTGTTGCAGATACAGCTACAAATCTCATTGGAATAATTATGCCGCTATTTTCAGAAGCAGGAGATAAAGACTGTACAGTTTTCATTCTGCTAACTACAACTTCAAGAGTTGGTCCACGATTTTCATCTTTTATAACATGTACCTAAGAAAGAAACCAAGAAAAAAATGATTAACTATAAAAATAAAAAAACTATTTAATTGATTAAAATCCATAATAATATTAACACTCTTAAGAAAATAAGACTTTCTACTTGAAGGGATAAAACAGAGTTTGGTTGAAAATGTCTTATTTCTTTCTATCCACCCTAGTCATCATTTTATGTTTATCTCTGAAAATAAGTTGAAGTAATGTGTTCACTACCTCATCAATGAGAAAAAGTCTAACCAGCTTGACCAAAGAGTTGTCTCTCCATTTTCTAGTCATGCTATCCCATTTTTCCTAAAGAAAAAATGCAAGTGGTTTAACATAAGAAATTATAATAAATATTATTAAGACATCAATAAAAATCTTAACCTGATACAAAGGATGGGCAATATTTTAATTTATGTCTCAAAAGTATCCTGAAAAAGATTTAAAGATTAAAAACACTTTAAAGAATTTTGATAGTCTTATAAGTGCTTAAAAAACTAAACCCCCATTTATTTTTTACATAACCAAAAATATACAAAATTATAGTTTAAGTACCTTTTTTTAGCCCTACCAAGGTCCTCCCTCTGTAATACATAATACTTGGATAAAAGAATACAAGCAAAAAATATGATTGCAAATTATCCTCAATAACAAATTACCTATTCATATATTTTGTCTATTTTGCCCATTTGGTAGTTTGTCTTTTACTTACTGATAAATAAGTATTCTTTATATAACCTGAATAGTAGTATTTTTTATGTTTGTTTCTTTTTTACGTTGCATATATTTTCTTCTACTTTGTATATTCTCTTAATTTTTATTCATGGTGAAGAGAAACATTTTCTAATAAACCAAGGAAATAACTGAGTATAAATAACACCTACTGGAGTTGTCATAATAATATGGGCATGCTGAATCTCAAATAGGTCATCCATTACTGTATCTCCAGTGAGTTCTTTACAATTCAATCCTATTGGTCCAAATTTTTCTTTCCAATCATCAAAACGCTGACTACACAGGGCTTTTATTGGTGCCACTATAACAATATAAGATATTTATTTTGAATGTCAGTGCAATTTTCAAATTACTTCCACAAACATTGGTTAATAAAATTAAGATCAAACATTGAGGTTTGCCTAGTACTTATAAATTGAAAGAGTTAACAATATAAGCATATTATTTAGAGATATAATCGCCAGGCTGTACTAAAAATAGAAAAACAAGTAATTGTTCAGGGAATTGTAACTAAGAGCAGAGAGAGGTAAGGTAGGAGATTATGCTTTTCATTATAAGACTTTTTGTAATAATCTATCTTTTTTAACCATGTACATAGATTACTTTGATGAAAAATTTTAAATATATATATATATATACACACACACATACATACACACACATATATATATCTAAGAACAAAAAGTTCTGGTTCCTAAGGAAATTTTTTAGAATTTCAAAATGTTTGAATTTATTGTTCTTGTTGTCCTTTAAAAAATAAACACATATTGTCTGGAGCACTGGGTGTGTTGCATAAAGAATCTTGGAACACTGACAAAAAATTAAATTAAAAAAAGATCAAAAGGAGAAAAACAAAACAAAAAAAAACATGTAAAGGTCAAACTCTCAATTCAAATATTACTTTTTATTTACAACTGTGGGAAAATGTGTTTGAAATTTAATGTAACAGACAAGAGCAAATGTGACAGGTCTTCATTAAAAATGTGTGGCAAACCGAATGTTAATTCTTATGGCTTGAACTTTATTTCTTACCTTTGCCTCAATGGTTTTTCATTATTATAATTAATTACTCTTATATAATACTTACTGTAAACAATTTTAATATTTGACCATGGCAATGGGACTTCCATTAATAATCTTGTTATAGCTAGTTCAAACACCACAGTTTTCCCAGAACCAGTTGGAGCACAAATCACAAAATTCCTATCTGTGTAAAGAAGCTAAAAAATAAAATTTAATCAATCATGGGATATATAGAATTTTTCATTCACACTCTCAATTTGTTAGAAAATATGTAAGAAAGACTCTCTGGAATAATAATTCAAATTATTTTTACCTCTAAACTTACTAAAATTCTAACCCTACTCTACATCCACACCCTCCCAAAAAAACCCATTATTAAATAATTTATCATTATGTTTTATTTGTGAAAATAATATGTTAGACCTAGAAGAAAATTTCTTTAGCTTCCAGAGAAATTTTATAAATTTAATAAGTATAAACAAACCCCACCTATGAAAGTCACATACATTCATTTAGCAAACATTTTTTGAGTTCCTATAGTGTACCAGTCACTGAGCATGGCACTGGAAACATAAAGATGAATGTGATCTAGTCCTTGCCCTTAGAGAGTACACAATAAAATAAGAAGAGGCAGATAAATAAAAATCATAATAAAATACTTACATCATCAAAGGCTTTGGATTGTATATAGTTGAAATATGGGAATTCCTTGAAAACACTTCTAAATTTTGCCGCTTAGAATAGCATTAAGGAGTCAAATATTTCAGAATTTTTAAGAATTCTTTACTTTTAATTAACTAATTAATTGGTTACTTTTAATATAAAAATTCAATTAATCAATATTAACTTTGATAATATTTAATGATGAGGCTTTAATACTTGCTGTTTTAACATCATAAGAAAGGAATTAATAGATATAGAGGGAGTGACCAATATGGCAACAAAAGAGGCTCCTGAACCTTCCCTCCTCCCACAGATGCACCAAACATATAGTTACACATGGAGCAATTCGAAGAAAAATCCAGAAATTAGTTAAGTGACTCCTACACACTGGGTGAATGAAAATGCCCACAATGAAATGGGTAGGAAAGGCTGAGACAACTCTTACCCTAACTCCCATCTTTGGCAAAGCACCATACAAACGGAAACTCCCAACTCCCAGCTTCTCCCAGCAAAGACTTTGGATCACACATCTAGAGCTCCCACCCACAGGATAAGCCCCCAACACCCAACTCTGTAAGCCAACAGGGTTTGCAACCATGAGAACCACAGGACTATAGCAAACAAATAAGCAGTTCTTAAATGGGCACAGGAACAACTCCTCTTCCTCTGCAGATATACTCAGGGCAGAGGGAGCAGCAAAAATGTTCATTTCCAGTTTCTACTTTCTCGCTACTACCTCAGGTTCTGGCTTTCAATCAGCCTGCACCTACGTGCTAATTACAACCCTCCCCTTTGGGACACTGATACATTTTAGCTCAACTACTAGAAGCCACTAAGAACAAAGACAGTGAGTTGGGCAATCAGAAAGGTTTGAAAGGGAACTATGAGTTTGGGTTAAGTTAATTGATGAGGCTCATCTCCTAAGAACAGCCTGTCAATATTGGGAGAGGTGGATATTTTATCAAATGTGTAGAAACCAGCATAGAGGTTAAGAAAAATGAAGAAATAGGAATATGTTCCATATAAAAGAACAAGATAAATCTCCAGAAACCAAACTTAACAAAACAGAGATAAGTGATTTATCCAGTAGTTTAAGAGAATACATAAAAATGCTCACCAAGGTCAGGAAAGCAATGCATAAACAAAGTAAGAATTTCAACAAAGTCATAGAAGATATAAAAAAAGTACCAAAGAGAAATCACAAGGATTCAAAATCAGACAGATCAAACAGAAGAAAGAATCAATGAACTCAAAGACAGGGCAATGGAATTAATCCGGTCAGAGGAGAAAAATGAAAAAAGAATGAAAAAAAAAAAATGAAGATAGTTTAAGGGGCTTATTTTACACTGATACCAAAGCCAGGTAAGGATACTACAATAAAAAGAAAACTACAGGCCAATATTCCTAGTGAATAAAGATGCAAAAATCCTCTACAAAATATTAACAAACCAAATTCAACAGTGTATTAAAAGGGTCACAACCACATGATCAAATGGAATTTATTTCTGGAATAGAAAGAAGTTCAATGTCCACAAATAAATCAACATGGTACGCCCATATTAAAAAGTTAAAGATCAGGAGTGCCCAGCTGGCTCAGTCAGAAGAGCATGTGACTCCTGATCTTAGGGTCATGAGTTCAAGCCCCACATTGGGCACAGAGCTTACTTTAAAAAAAAAAAAAAAAAAAAAAAAAGTTAAAGATAAAAATCGTATGATCGGGGCACCTGGGTGGCTTAGCTCGTTAAGCATCTGCCTTTGGCTCAGGTCATGATCCTGGAGTCCTAGGATCAAGTCCCATATCCGGCTGCCTGCTCAGTGGGGAGTCTGCTTCTCCTTCTGCCCTTCACCCTGCTTGTGCTCTTTCTCTCTCTCTCTCAAATAAGTAAATAAAATCTTAAAAAAAAAATCATATGGTCATCTCAATAGATGTAGAAAAAGCATTTAACAAATACAGTATCCTTTCATGATAAGAACGCTCCAGAAATTGGCTAAAGAAGGAATGTCCTTCAATATAATAAAAGCCATTTATGACAAGCCCACAGCTAACATCATATTCAATGGCAAAAAGCTGAAAGCTTTTGTCTAAGATTGGAAAGAGACAAGGATGCCCACCTTTCACTACTTTTAATAGTAGTGGAAATCCTAACCAGAGAAATTAGGCAAGAAAGAGATATAAAAGGTATCCAAATTGAAAAGAAGAAGTAAAGCGGTCTCTATTCATAGATGACATCATATTATATATAGAAAAAACTAGAGACGACACTATAAAACTGTTAGAATAAACAAATTCAGTAAGGTTGCAGGGTACAAAATCAATATACAAAAATCAGTTGCATTTCCGCGCACTAACAACAAAATATCAAAAAGAAATGAAGAAAACAATCCTATTTACAATAGCATCAAAAAATAAAATACTAAGGAATAAAGCTAACCATCCCATTTACAATAGCATTAAAAATAAAATACTTATGAATAAATTTAACCCTTAACTATAAAACAGTGATGAAAGAAACTGAAGACACAAATAAATGGAAGGATATTCAAAAATCAATTCAAAGTGAATTAACCAATTGAATATAAGACCTGAAATCCTAAAACTCCTAGAAGAAAACATAGGGAATAAACTTCCCTACACTAGTCTTAGCAATTTTTTTTTAGATTTAAAACCAAAGGCAAAGGCAACAAATGTGAAAATAAACAAGTATACTACTTCAAACTAAAAAGCTTCTGCACAGCAGAGGAAGCCAGCAATAAAATGAAAAAGCAGCCTATGGATAAAATATTCGTAAACCATATGTATGATAAGGGGTTAATATCCAAAATACACAAGAACTCATACAACTCAATAGAAAAAAACAAATAACCTAATTTAAAAATGGTCAAAGGCCTGAACAATTTTCCAAAGAAGACACAAATGAAGACACAAATGGCCAACAGTAAATAAAAAGTGCTCAACATCACGAATCATCAGGGAAATGCAAATTGAAACCACAATGAGAGATCACCTCACACCTATTAGGATGCCATTTACCAAAAAGACAAAAAATAATGCAGTGAGGATGTGGAGAAAAGAGAACACTTGTAAACTGTAGATAGGAATGTAAAGGGGTACAGCCATTATGGAAAACAGTATGGAGGTTCCTTCAAAACTTAAAAATAGAACTATCTTATGATCCAGCAATTTCACTTTTGGGTACACATTCAATGTGGGGCTTGAACTCACAAGCCTAAGATTAAGACCTAGATGAAATCAAGAGTCAGACACTTAACAGACTGAGCCACCAGGTGCCCTTAGGGCACATATTCAAAGGAAGCAAAATCAGTATCTCAAACAGAAAACTATAATCCCATGTTCACTGCAGCATTATTCATAATAACCAAGATTTGGAAATAATCTTAAGTGTCTGCAAAGAGACAAATGGATAAAGAAAATGTGATGTACATATATTTTATATATATATATTTAATAAATATACATATCACACACTTATACACACATGCCTACACACACAATAAAATACTATTCAGCCTTAAAAAGGAAGGGAATTCTGCCTTTTTTGACAAATTGGATGAACCTGAAGACCATTAGGCAAAATGAATTAAGCCAGAAAGAGAAAGACAAATACTGCATAGTATCACTTATAAGTGGACTCAAAAAAGCACAAAAGATCAAACTCATAGAAACAGAGAATAGAATGGTGGTTGACAGGGGCTGGGGACATGGGAGAAATAGAAAAAGGCTAATAAGAAGGTATAAACTTTCAGCTGTAAGATTAATAAGGTGAGGCTCTAATGTATGACATGGTGACTAGAGCTGATAGCACTGACTTATATAATTTAAAAAAGTAAATATGGAAGATGATGGAGGGTGGAAACTAACTTGATGGTGGCACCTATTATAATGCATACATATGTCAAACCATCATATCGTACATGTGATACAGCATATCAAGTGTACTACTTCAAACTAAACAGTTTGTCAATTTAGACAAACTAAATATATTTGTTAATCACACATCAATAAAGTCAGGAGGGGGGAGAAATTATTACAGTCCCCAGTAACAGTCCATATTCTGAAAAAAATGTCCCGGTGCAGAAACAAGGTTTATATAAGGGTTATAATTTGACAATTAAAATTTGACTATTAAATCTGATGGAAAAATGTAGAAAGTTGCATATTTGCCAGTATATCAAAACTAAGTGTACACTTTATCTTTTTCAGAGTAGTGTTTTCTTATTCATGTTGACTAGGCAATTTTTATATCTCCTTTAAAGTTCTCAATTTCACTTTTTAACTTTTCACTTTTAACTGTTTTAACTTTTCAACTTTAGTTGCCTTTCATTAGCTGAGATGTGTTTCTGGTCACCTAACCCTGAATCCCTTTGTTTTCAATAATTTGGTTGTACTGAGTGGTGGATTTAATTGCAATTAACAGCATATTGGCTCTACAAGAACTTAAACTGTCCTTCCTCTGTAAGAAAACTAAAAAATATTAATAGATATGAAGACTAAACTGTCCCCTCTCCAAGGTGAGAGTCTACTGTCAGCTTGGGAGATACTTGTACTTACGTGGTATTCTCAGTCTGAGTCACATCTATCAACTACATCTATTAAATACTATATGCAAAATACGTTACTGGATTTAGAAAGCTGTGGGAAGCTATAAAAAAAGAAGAGTTCTTACAATGGAGGCTGTTATAATCTATTAAGAAACATAAAACATAATATATCTGAGAATACAAATACACAGTTATTCCAGCAATTTTATTTTTATGAACATATATACAAAAATTGATGGACTGTAGTAAGTGATCTTGTTAAAAGGTTAAATGAGAACATATTACTTCTCTGCTCATTTGCCCACTTTCTCTCAAAGCATACGACTACAAGGCCTTACATGATCTTTGGTCTCCCCTCCATCTTTGTGATTCTGATCTCAGGTCCTACTACTCTCGCCTCTGACTAATCCCTTCTAGCTGTATTGGACTCCTTTCTGTTCTTCAAAAACACCAGCCATGTTCCTGCTGTTAAGGCCTTCCCTCTGCCTAGACTGCTTCCCTCCTTATTTCCTTGGCTCTTTCACTTCCTTCAATTGTTTACATCTCTCCTTCTCAAGAAGACCTACCCAAATTACTCTACTTAATTCTAATCTTGAGCCCTCAATTCCAGCATCCCCAATTTCATCTTCTTTACTCAGTTTCACTTTTTCATTTTCCAAATTACTCATTGCCTTCTAACATACTATATGACTTATTTATACACTGTTAGAATTGTTCAGATCTGTCTTCTCCCCCAACCCCATCCCAAGAATGAATGTTAACCCCTCAAGGCAAGGATTCATTATCTGTTTTCTTAACTGACATGTTCCAAATACCTAGAACAGTGCCTGGCTCATAGTAAGCATTCAATTAATATAGGTTTGAGTTTATTAAATCAAGCAGATAATATGCAAATCTTCATTTTATTTTTACTTATACAGAGTATCAGAATATTTGTGCCAAAACAAAAGTGTAATTTTGAGTTTGTCAATCCATCAAGCTTTTGAAAGAATCTCATTTTTCCTTCAAAATATGTTTCTTCCGATAAAATATTTATTTGTAACAAGTCCACAAGTGGGCCATCATGCTGGTTTTTCTCTCATTAGGTAGTTCCACATCAATTTACATTCACAAAAATGAATCTTTGATTCAGAGTATAGAATTAGTTTTCCAGCTCATGAGAAAACTGAACTACTAACATCATTTATCATTACTATAAACACTTAATATCAAATTTCTCCTTTTGTTCAACAAACTCTCAGCAGTGTCACTGCAATTATATGTTATAACAGGTAGGAAAATGTCTGCAGAATTGAAAATTGTAAGACTACTATAGCAAAATCAATCTGAGCAAACTTTTATTGTCCTAAGGATTCAAATATAATAAAATATTATAAAAGAATTAGAAAATATGCTGTGTCCTAGTAATTCCAAAACTCTTAAATTATCATGAAAAGCATTTAGTCTTCCACTTTAAATACATACTTAGAAATAATAAAAAATAGTTCTGTGGTTTTGACCACAAATGAACTTTTTGAACAACAAATCAATGCAACAAGAGTATGCAGTATTTTTAACTAACAGAGACCTAAACAATAGATACATTTCAGCTGAGCTAATATAGCATTAATATCTTTAAAACACTTTAAAACACTTCATTGGGGTACCTGGGTGGCTCAGTGGGTTAAAGCCTCTGCCTTCGGCTCGGGTAATGGTCTCGGGGCCCAGGAATCGAGCCCCGCGCTGGGCTCTCTGCTCAGCTGCTCAGCAGGGAGCCTGCTTCCCTTCCCCTCTCTGCCTGCCTCTCTGCCTACTTGTGATCTCTGTCAAATGAATAAATTAAAAAGTGTTTTTTAAAAAAAAAAGATCTTTAAAATGCTTCAAAATTTACTGTCATATTATGGCAAGTTGCACTAAGGATAAGAAGACTTTCTCATCATACACATAATGAAACTAACTTTTACCTGTTTAAGACTAACATATTTCCTATGTTCCAACCATATTTAGATCACCAGAGAGAAGAAAGCACAGTAGGATTGAGACACCATGCTGAACAGAAACACTAAAAGCTGACTATATCTGAAGTTATGATATATCATGTAAAATCCTTTATTGTTCTCTTCCCCCATTCTAACTTAGTTCAGTTATCTGCATTGCAGGAATATTTTCATGATTGGTCAGGCAAATATGTTTTTTTAGAGATTTTATTTATTTGTCAGAAAGAGGGAGAACTGCAGGCAGAAACAGGCAAAGCAGGCAGAGAGAGAGAAGCAAATTCTCCACTGAGCAAGGAGCCCCATGCCAGACTCAATCCCAGGACCCTGGTCATGACCCAAGCCAAAGACAGATGCTCAACTGACTGAGCCACCCAGGCATCCCAAGTCAGGTAAATATTTTCTAACCATACCTCAGAATGGACTCAGTCCCCTGAGTACCCTGGACTAGAATAATTCTCCCCTAGATTCCTCCAGCTCAGGAGGAATTCATTTACTGTTTTGCCAACTAGACAATAACTTTTGTGGAGTCTGGAGCCTTACCCAGCTTTGAGTCATTAATTCCATATTCCAAAAGCATGGTTTTGATGATATAACTTGACTTGCTCAAAATACTGCATGGTTTCTCCTCATTGTTCGATAAATTAAAAAGCAAACAAACAAAACCTCTTGACCTTGGTATCCAAGGCATTAAATAACCTGATCCTAGGATACCTTTCAATCATTATGTCCTATTACTCCTGTAAGCATAGCTTTTATTTTGGCCAAACTGGAATGCTTGTTCTTTCTAACATATTCCACACTATTTTACCCTCATCTTGGCTCATAGCTACTCTTTTGTCAGAACAACTTCCTTTACCTGCCTTTCAGTATACTTGGAGATAGGAAGATAAACAAGGGATGGCCCTTCCCTTCAAGGAGTTCACAGGTCATAGGGATGGTCACATAATAGTCACAGTTGCTAGATTATAATAAAAAACAACAAGTATACTGTTATAGACATACATAAGATATCAAAAAAGCAAAGACGATGTTATCTCCAGAATGCACGTATATACTCAAAATATTTATACTGGAAATGCCCAGACATGTAAATTATACCATACGTATAAACTGTAAATTTCATTCAAAAAATGCTAGATTTGTAAAAAATATACCCAATCCACAGAATATGCCATTCTCATTTATTTCCCCTACCCATGTTTATCCCAATATACTATACAATATACTATCCTTAGGAAATGATCTGTATCTAAGGAAACATGCTCAGAATGCAGCCAATAATACAAATCTCATTTCTATACTTATCTTGTCACAAGCTCATAACAAGCAGTTCACAAACCGGCACTAGCCTGCCACACTTTGAGCAGCACTGACTCTCACACACACTGAGTCTCTTACACGGCCCAAAAGATGCACTTTCCCCTCTTTTTCATTGTCAATAAAATAAACACAGACACAATAAAATAACATGCTTACAAATTGTGATTTCAAATATAAAGCCGCTATAGTAAAATAAAGGATACGGATTTCTGTGACAGCCTTCAAGGAATCTATATCATTTTCTGTTACTCCTAAAAATAATTCTACATATTTATATAGGTATTTTTAATCTCTTCCATACTAACTGCCTCAATAAAACTAGTATAACTTTTTATTAAGAGCACAGTTAAATATTAGATCATAGTTTATTTCATTTTTTATTTTTTAAAGTAGGCTCCACACCCAACACAGGGCTTGAACTTATGACATTTACTCCAAGAGTCACATGCTCTACCAACTGAGCCAGACAGGCACCCTAGATCATAGTTTAAAAATGCAATAGATTGAGAAATGCAGAAACTGCATTTTTTATTATTTTTTGTATTTATTTTTATTTACTTTTTCTTTTTTTCATTTTTGTATTCTTTACTTTTGTATTTATATTTTTATATTCTTCCTTATGCTGAGAAATACAGACTAGTTTGTTCTATTATAAAACCAACTGAAAAAAGCAAGGAGTTACCTTGAACTTCATGAGGCTGGGATGCAACTGCAAAAGTTGGTGCTTTGAATATCTCTTCCCTGATTTCAGAAGCAGAAAGAGTATTGCTTGCTGTAAACATGTTAATGTCTGAATATTGATGTTTCTGTTTACTACTGCTACATTTCCATGATTCCCCTTTGTTCATTTCTGTTGGGGCAACTTTCACTGAGCCAATAGGAGAGTCCAAGTTTGTACTGTCATTAGAGTTAATACCCTCATGTATATTATCAGATATTTTAAACAATCTGCAAAAAAAAAAAAAAAAAAAGTTTGCCCTTGAACAGCTGCTTAGAAGGGGGAAAACTAGCATAAAATCGGTCCTTTGAAAAATGCCCACAGATTGTGGTTTATTCAAACATAAAATTAAAGCATTCCCCTAAAATACAACTTGACAAATTTACCACTGAATTATGTCTTTTCACTTTTAGAAGGGAAAACTCAAATCCCATTTGTAGAAGCCAACCTCCAAGACCTGTCTCCTGCTAGTCGCATCCTTTTCAAATTAGGACTTTGAGTCAGGACAGAATTACATGACTAGTAGAGTACTGAGGAAGTACAAGTGCATGACTTCCAACGACAGGTCAGAAAAGATACTGTCTCGGGGCGCCTGGGTGGCTCAGTGGGTTAAGCCTCTGCTTTCAGCTCAGGTCATGATCTCAGGGTCCTGGGATCAAGTCCCGCATCGGGCTCTCTGCTCGGCGGGGAGCCTGCTTCCCTCTCTCTCTCTGCCTGCCTCTCTGTCTACTTGTGATCTCTGTCTGTCAAATAAATAAATAAAATCTTAAAAAAAAAAAGAAAAGAAAAGAAAAGATACTGTCTCTTCTGCATGGGCTCTTGGATCATTCACACTTAAAAGACCTATCCACTACATCTTGAGAATACAAAGGCAACTGGATGGAGAGGCCCATGTAGTCAGGTATTGTGGCTTCTTGTCAGGAACAGCAGCAACTTCCCAAACATTATTCAATAATCACTTTAGTATAATACTAAATAAGTATCACTGTCAAGAACACTTTGCAAAGAAGTATTTTCTTTGCAAAGTTCTAGAAAACAAAGGCAATCTTTAGAATTGCAATTTATTATATTGAACTGATCAAAAGTCAACCCATCAAACTAATTTGTTCACCATAGCCCTAAGATATGAAGTGACCATTAAAGTTCCTAATACAGGGATGCCTGGGCGGCGCAGTCGTTTAAACATCCAACTCTTGATTTAGGCTCAGGTCATGATCTCAGGGTCCTCAGATTGAGCCCCATGTAGGGTATGGAGCTTGCTTAAAATTCTCTCTCTCCCTCTCCCTCTGCCCCTTCCAACCCTGCTTGTGCACATATGGATATGTGTACTCTCACCCTCTCTCTCTCAGGAAACAAATAAAATTTGAAAAGTAAATGTCCTAATGTAATATTTGTATCTTACAAAGTTAAGTATTAGGGATGACAGAAGAGATCAGTCTTACAGAATTCTATAAGAAATGACATCCAAACAAGTATTGTGCAAATACAGAACACTTTCTAAATTATTTTTACTATTAATTTTTAATGACATGTTTCCATATAAGAAAACAGGAGTCTTTAAAAACACTATAGAACAAGAAATACACTTTAGAACAAACTATAGGGTTGTTCTATCCTTCAATGCATCCTTCTATCAATGAAGATGGAAAATTAAAAAGCAGATGATTAGCCTTGAATAATATAGTAGAATCTGATTATGAAATGGTATTGAGGATAAGAAAAACAACTTACGCCACAGGATGACTCCTTGCTATCTGCAGTCATATCAGTTAAAAGCATGGACTTTGGAAACAGACAAACTGGGTTTAAATCCAGAGCTCCTCCACTTTCTAGCTGTGTGACTTAGAGTTTAAAATAAGTTTTGTGAACTATAAAAATATTATCCATGTGCTAGTTACCTAAATTCTCTGGACCTCAGATTCTTCCTAGTTCCTCTAGAACTCACACTCCATAAACTCCCCTATGTCCTCAACTTCTTCACTGATTGCTATAATTACTTCCTGGTCTTAACAAAAATATTGCATTGCCCTGAAAAATTCTTGCTTCTTAAAAAACTTAAGTAGAAATTGCTTATTTTTCCACACCAAATGTACTTGAGGATTGAGAGTCTGTGCCTTCTTCATCCAAAATCTGCATCATATTCTTCTGTTCTCTTATAGAAGTATCTCTGCCAACTAGTTATAACACTTTTTAACCCTCCTCATGGCATATATCATATAGCAACATGTGGTCACTTAAGAATCTTTTCCTCTCAATTCCAAATTCTGCCACCATCTCCATTACTTCAACATTCATACAGATAAGCCATTCAAAATCCTCTCCTCTTCATTTCTTAGGCATTCATCTACAGTGGCTTTCTACTTCAAACAATTTCATTCACCTATTCTCTCATCTTAAACACTGTCATTATCCAGAACTGCTCCTCCTCTCAAATCAATCATTCCAATATATCATTCTCTGACCACAGCTTCTTATTCTTTCAGCTTGTTTACACAAGCTACCAATGAAGTAAAAAAACAAATTTACTTTAATGAACCTCTTTATTTTCCCCCAAACTATCTTCCCTTCTCTTTCTCATCTACCTTTAATGGACTTAGATCCCATGGCCTATCTTTTTGACCATTCTTTTACTAATATTCCAAACTCCAATTCCTCTTTATCCTTTTAACATCCTTATCTTGCAAAACCTCAATCCTAGGTGAATCTACCTACTTTTTAAAATAATTGCAGGTGAGCAGGGGAACACTACTGGAAAAAGCAGTTAGGTAGATGACATAACACTCTGAACAATAAAACTGAGAGTCATCATCAGCAAGACTGTAGATACAAGATCAATATACCAAAATCAATTGCTGATGTTTAAACACTTGCAATGTACAATCTGAAAAAAAAAAAAACTTTTTAATTCCATTTATAAAAGCATCAAAAAGAGCAAAATACTCAGAAATAAACTTAACAAAACAAGTTTGACTTGTCCACTGAAAAAGTCACAACATCACTGAGATTAAAGAAAATCTAAACAAATGGAAAGATAACTCATGTTCATAGACTAGAAGACTTAACATTAAGATGGCAATACTCCTCAAGTTGATCTACAGATTCAATACCATTCCCATCAAAATCCCAGCTGACTTCTTTGCAGAAATTTACCAATGTATCACAACATTCATCTGAAAATGCAAAGAACCCAGAGAAGCTTAAAAAAAAAAAATCTTGAAAAAAGGAACAAAGTTGGAGGACTCACACATCCCAATTTAAAACTTTACAACAAAGCTACAGTAATCAAGACAGTGTGGGATATGTACTCATGCAAATACTGGTCAGTGGAATAGAACTGAGAGCCCAGAAATAAGCGTTTATTTAGTAGATAGTTTCCTAGTTAGTATAATAGGAAATATACATTTGGTCTTTGTTCCCAGTACCTGGCACAGAGCTCCTAAAACCCTTGGAATTTTCTGTGGGATAGTAGTGATAAAAAGCATCTTTGTTATTCATGACAAACCCCTTCCAATCATACCTGAGTTTATACTAATGAAGTGACTCTTGCAGGACCCCTAGATAGCTTCAGGATGGGGGTTAACTGCCAGAGAAAAATAAACCCTAATTAGAGAAGGCTGAACTTTCAGCCTCATCTATGATACCCAAGGAAGAAAGAGGAATGGAGATTGAGTTCAATCACCAATGGCCAATGATTTATCAATCATGCATACCTAATAAAACTACCATGAAGGAAAAACCCATATATGACAAGGGGTTCAGAAAGCTTCAGAGGTGAACAGGGGCACCTGGGTGGGTCAGTCAGTTGAGCATTGGACTTTTGATTTTGGCTCAGGTCATTATCTCAGGATTCTGGGATCAAGCTTCATGTCAGGCTCTGCACTCAGCATGGAGTCTGCTTGTCCTTTTCCCTCTGCTCCTCCCCCTGCTCATGCACTCTCTCTCTCTCTAAAATAAATAAATATATAAGACCTTAAAAAAAAATCACAGACCTAAATGTAAGAGCTAAAACTATAAAAATCTTATAAGAAAATGCAGTAGTAAATCTTTATACAACCTTGAATTAAGCAATGATTTCTTGGCTATGACACCAAAAGCCCAAGCAACAAAAGAAAAATTAGATAAACTGGACCTCATCAAAATTTAAAATTGCTGAGGACATTATTAAAAAAGTGAAAAACAACACAGAGAATGGGAGAAATATTAGCAAGTCATACAGCTGATAAGAGACTTTTATCCAGAATATATAAAGAAACTCTTACAACTCAACAATAAAAAGAAAACCCAATTTAAAAAAGGAGGATTTGAATAGATATTACTCCAAAAGTAATACACAACTAGCCAATAATCACATGAAAAGATGCCCAATCTCATAGGTCATTAGGGAAATGCTAATCAGTGAGATGCCACTTCAAACCCACTGGGATGGCTACAACAAAAAAGACGAATAATAACAACTACTGACAAGGACAGAGAAATTGGAACCCTCACATATTGCTTGTAGGATTATAAAGTGGTACAGTTATTTTGGAAAATAATTTGAAAGTTTCTCAAAAAAGTTAAGTATATAGTTACCATATGAGCCAGCAATTCCAATTCTAGGCATAAATCCAAAATAATTGCAAAAATATATTCACACAAAAACTTGTACATGAATGTTCACAGCAACATTAATAATAGTCAAAAAAGTAGAAATAATTCAAATGTCCAACAATTGATAAATGGATAAAATGCTGCACTGTCCACTGAATGGAATATTATTTGACTATAAAACATGAAGTATTGATATACATTGTAATATGGATAAATCTTGAGAACCTTATGCTAAGTGAAAAAAGACAGACACAAAAGGCCAGACATTGTATGATTCCACTTATATGAAAGTCTAGAATAGGCAAATCCACTAAAAACAGAAAGGTAAGTGGTTGCCAGGGGCTGGAGAGAGGGAAGGAGAATGAGGAGTTGGAAAGGGAAGTAATCAATAATGAATACAGTTTCTTTTGGGGAGATGAAAATATTTTAAAATTAGATAGTGGCGATGATTACACAACTCTGTGAATATTCTAAAAACCCATGAATGTACACTTCAGAAGAGTGAATTTTATATGAGTTATATCTCCTTTTTTTTTAAGATTTTATTTATTTATTTGTTTGAGAGAGTAAGGGCAAGTAGGGGGAAGAGTAAAGGGGGAAGGAGAGAATTTCAAGCATTCCATGCTGAGCAAGGAGCCCCAGGCAGAGCTCAATCTCACGACCCTGAAATCATGACCTGAGGCAAAACCAAGAATTGGCACTTAACCAACTGAGCCACCCAGGCACCCTGAGTAGTATCTTAATAGAACTGTTACAAAAAATTCATAGACATCAACCTCAATTGGGCCCTTTAGAGTGTTCAACAAAGTGCTCGCTTCGGCCGCAAATACACTAAAATTAGAGTGTCCAATAAGCCTACCATTATTCTAACTGGATTGCTTTCCCATTTTTAATAATCTCTTCCACTCTTCTCGTACTTCTTCAATATTCCCACTTTTTCCCCTCAAACTCCACAAATGACCTCATCTCTTATGTCACAGAGAAAACAAAACCTATCAGTTAGATCTCTTCTGAATCTTTAAACCCATACATCCAATTCCCTATCTGGACAATTTATAGGTACTCAAACTCAACATGTCCAAATCTGTACTCATCACCTTCCCCCAAACCTGTTCTTCCTTTATAGTTTTCCACATCATGAAAGGGCACTACCATCCTTCATCATTCTGGTTCAAGTCAGAAAACCATGAATCAGGTGTCATATCTAATAATCATTTAGGTGCTACGGGATTTTTATCTCTTAAATCACTCTGAACTCTCTCATTTCTGCTACCACAGTCTACATCAGTCTCCCATTCTCTCTCACCTAGATTAATAAAAACCTTCTAAGTGACCTTTCACAACGTATTTTAGTTCCTTCTAATTCATCATACTGATTGCCAAAATGCACTTTAAATTAAAAAAAAAAATCCAATTTTACTCCTCTACTTAAAATGTAGAATCTTAGGGGCGCCTGGGTGGCTCAGTGGTTTAAAGCTTCTGCCTTCGGCTCAGGTCATGATCCCAGGGTCCTGGGATCGAGCCCCACATCGGGCTCTCTGCTCCACGGGGAGCCTGCTTCCTCCTCTCTCTGCCTGCCTCTCCACCTACTTGTGGTCTCTGTCTCTCAAATAAATAAATAAAATCTTAAAAAAAAAAATAATGTAGAATCTTAGAATTCTAGCTCTCAAACTTTATTGTGCATAACAATCATCTAGAAAAATTGTTAAAAATGACAATTCCTGGGTCCCCTCCCCACCTTTATATAGACTGTGATTCAACAGGCCTAAGGTAAGACTCAGGAACCCAAATTTCTAACAAGTACTTCAGATGATTCTGATATGGTGGGTTCATAGGCCACAGCTTAAGAAACAGTGCCTTAAGAAAAAGCACAAAGTTTATGGCGGCCTACATGATTCTGAATGACTCGACCTCTCCAAACCTTACCTCTCTGCATTCTCTCTGATTTTACACAAAAGGAAATTTTCTAATGGGCCAAGCTCTGTGCTACTTTGGGTCTTTTGCACTTATTATTCTTTCTGCCTAGAGTACTCTCCTTCATTTGCCCTTAGTTTAATTCTATTCCTCCTTAAGGTTAAGTTTTTGTTTTTGTATTTTCTAAGATGTTATTTATTTATTTGAGAGATAGAGAGAAAGTACAAGAGGTTGGAAGTTCAGAGGGAGTAGACTCCCCGCTGAGCAGGGAGCCTGATGCGGGATGTGATCCTGGGACTCTGGGATCATGACCTGAGCCAAAGGCAGATGCTTAACCGACTGAGCCACCCAGGTACCCCAAAGTTAAGTTTAAATACCACTTCATCAAGAAAGCCCTCCCTGATGCTCCAGAACAGATTAGGACCCCATGTGATATGCTGTAACAGCAATTCTCAAAGTACAGTTGAGACTCTTCAGAGAGTATGTAGGATCAAAACAATTTTCATAATATCAGTAAAGCACTGTTTGCTTTTTAAATTTTTTGAGTTTTCATTTATAATATGGTTAAATATTGATAGACATAACCCATATATACAATAACTGTTGAGAATCCTCAGTAATTTTTAAGTGTAAAGGGTCCTTACAGTAAAAAGTTTGAAAAATTTTGAGACCCTTTGCTCTAACTATATACTTCATCAAAATAATTATTATACTATAAAGTACTTAATCAATTATTTTAAATTATTTGTCCTTTCCCCATTAAGTTGTAGCTCTCTGAAGGCAAGAACCTATGACTAGAATCCCAGAGTTAACAGAGCATTTGGTATTTACTAAACCCTATTTGTTGATGTTTTTCTCATTTAGATTCTATCATACTTCATACATTTGGACATACCATAAATGTTCAACTTTATCACTGAATATTCTGTAATTCATTTAATTAATTACCTTTTTCGGAAGGCTGATGTGCTCTCTCCTTTACCTTCTGCAAAATTAAATAATTTTGTATTATCTGGAACACTTTTCTCAGGTATTATTTCAGTGCTAACGTGATTTTTGTATTTCTGAGAAATACCATATGTCAGCTTGCCAGGAACATGTGATAAGTCATTGTTACCTGCTCCTCCTAAATTCAGATCACCTGCTTCATATTTATTTAAGGAAAAGGCAAACTGGAATTTTTGTGTTGGTGAAATATAATTTGTGTTTTCATTAGTTATCTTTAAATTTGATGGTAACATTTTTGGCTTCTCTTCCTGACCTACAGAAATGGAATACATTAATTAATATATGTTCTCCATGAAGATAAATTCTCAAAATGACCATGAAAAATTTTAACAAAAATTTTCAAACAGCTTACAAGGTAAACATGAAAGTTATTCATACACTAACAAGATAATCTATAACACCAAATATGGTTTTGATTGGTACTGTTATTGTATACTATATCACTGAAGGGCACTCAAATTAAGATTCACTGAAATTTGAAATTTACAAAAAACCTACATTATAAAATAGGTTTAATTTCTGACTCACAGAAATAACCATTATTATACCTTTTAAGTATTTTACCAACTACAAATGATATAATTATACAATTAAGAGGATTTGAATATTTACATTACCAATTTACACATAGAAATATAATGAACAATCATATACAATACTGGATTTGATTCAGTATTAAATACATGATGCAATGCTTTTAACTTTGTAGTATTGCTTCTAAAATCAAGATAAAGGAATGCTTTTATCAGGGTGAAAAAATTTTAAAGGTTTCTTTACAGAGATTTTACAGGCATCTTTGAGGGGTTGGGAGGAATCTGCAGGCATTGTTAGGGCTTAAATTTGTTTTACCATCTATGTATATGTATAGTATATATAAGCCTGTGTATACTATGTATTATTTGGTATATATGAGAATATAAATGTAATATATATTTTCATGTATAAAATATACACAAGTTACAAAGGTTAATAAGATAACATATATGAATTACCACCAAATTTGAAAAATCAAAAATTTTATCAACAATATCACATAAGATCACATATACTGTTTGAATATGCTTGTCTTTAACTTTATAAAAATGTTACCAAACTATATAAAATACTCTGCATCTTCTTTTTTTCAAGAATGTGGTTTCCTAAGCCAGAAGATCCTACCTTTAGTAAAAGGCAAGACAAAAACTAAATGGCAATGACAATTTTAATAATAAAAGGAAACAAATTCATGCAACAGTACATGTTTGTGATAGTGTACTGCATACACACAATATGCATATGTATGTATATGTATATATGGAGAAGAAAGATGTTTTTGATTTTAAGATTTGGTGAGCACTATTATGAATAAAGTCTCTATCATTTTATTTCATTAAAATAAAGGAATTAACATTTTAATGTGTTACTAGATTTTTTTACACTGACATGAGCTGCACAGGTTTAACTTCATAACAAGTATGTGATAGTTTACCTAACAGTTTATGACTTCCTATTTCCTCCTCCAATGCCTGAGTATCTGGAATTTCTGAAATCAATGGAGCAGGTGGGAGAAACCAATCCAATGATTTTTCAGTGTCTGGATAACTATATAAAATATAAAAGTGTGAATATATATGTTAATAAAGTTATATCAGAAGCTATTAATTAAACATTACTCAATTACAGACTCTTAGATAAACAACCTATAAATTAATTTTCTATGGTGACTTTGACGTATCTTTATATACAGCAGTGTTCTCAATCTTTTTTCCCTTGTGTGTCATACGATTAATGACACTGCTATGTGAGATATGCTACCTAAATAATGGCTATAACTCCGTCTTTTTTCCTCTAATTCAACAGCTTGTGACAAGAATCTTAAATCTGTTCCAATGTAAAAAAAAAAAATAGTAAATCATTCTTAAACATCAGCATCTTTACTATCAGAAGTAACAAAATACTTACAACACACTTCACAACAGATCATGTGTCATCAGTGTGTAAATGACACCACTACTGGTATTCTCTATTCTCTAGAGTATTCCTAAAATATTATTACAAATTAATGTCCTAATCCAAATACCCTTGATCCAGAACCACCACAGAAAATCCAAGAAACCAGTTGAAAATGATAATCACTTTGTAAACTTAAAGTAGTTTTTGAGAATTTTGCCACCCTGTTGGCACTGTGAACTGTCTCTCCTTATCTTTCAGCTGTGATCCTATTAACATATAAATTTTTAATGTTTCCTTTTCAATAAAAGTTGATTTGTCCTTCATTAGAGCAAAAAAGTATTGGCTGACAGGAAATAAACCTGAGAAGAGCACCACATACACTGTCTATGACAAGTAGCAAGGATTTTTTTTAATGATTTTATTTATTTATTTGAGAGAGAGAATACGAGAGGGAGAGAGAGAGCATGAGAGAGGGGCAGCGATAAAGGGAGGAGCAGACTCCCCACTGAGCAGGGAACATCCCATGCAGGACTCTATCCTGGGACTCCAGGATCATGACCTAAGCCAACGGCAGTCGCTTAACCAACTGAGCCAACCAGGCACCCGCAAGTGGCAAGGATTTTATGGTATTTTTAAATCTTTTTTATTTAGGACTTTAAACTCTAGAAAGTGAAAGACCCAGTCTTTTACACTACTGCCTTTTGTAGCTCCTAACACATAGCTTCCACAGCTATGTTTTCCAAATCAAAAATCTACAACACATTATCTGACAATGTCTGACAGACTATCTGATAATAGGCTAAAGCATTTGAAATTTAGGACTGTCAGAGGGTCCCCAAGAGCACCCCCAGAGCCAATGATTCCCTGGGCTGATTCAAATTCAACATATAGTCCTATTTGTGACTATGAGGCAAAGTCCAGGGGAAACCAGGCACAAGCCTCCAAAGATCCTCTCCCAGTACAGCAACACAGGACATCTTTAATTCCCTCAGCAACAAGCTATACTAGCATGTGTGAAGTGTTGCTAATGAGGGAGCTCATTAGAGACTCAATGCCCAGTGTTTTTACTGGGGACTAATCATGTGGGCATCCCCTGTCTAGTACATACCTAAATTCTAGATTCCCAGAAGAAAAGCAGATAGTCAGCATAAACCTATCTGTATAAACAGTTTAGGCAGTGAGCCATTCCTATCAGTTAATGGTGGGAACTTTCTTAAAGTTCTCACTCTAGCCAAGGGCCATTCGTACAACCAGGGCCTTTTCAAGGACAGTAGTTCAGGCCTGATGTATTAACTATTTTCTACGCAGAGACTATTTCAGAAAATCTAAGAGAGAGATAAAAAGCACACATCTGGGGCGCCTGGGTGGCTCAGTGGGTTAAGCCTCTGCCTTCAGCTCAGGTCATGACCTCAGGGTCCTGGGATTGAGCCCCGCATTGGACTCTCTGCTCAGAAGGGAGCCTGCTTCCCCCCATTCTCTGCCTGCCTCTCTGCCTACTTGTGATCTCTCTCTGTCAAATAAATAAAACCTTAAAAAAAAAAAAAAAGCACACATATAATCTACTATTCAGCATCCCCATAAAAATCAAATCTCCCTTATGACTTCCCTATTTTCCAGAGGCATCATCATTCTCTCAGTCATCCAGAATTCAAATTATAGCAAAATCTTATACCTATATATCCAGACATATACCAGGTCTTACTGCATCTTCTTTATAATGCTTCTTGAATTCATTTCCTTGTATTTCCACTGTCACTATTTCAATCAAAGCTCTAATCAGTTTGGTTAAGAACAATCATGTCTTAACTGGCCTCACTGCCTCTGGCTTTCTCTAACATATTTTACACACTCCTATCACACTGATTCAGAATTGTTTTCATCATAATTACATTCCATTCAAAATACTTCAGTGGCTTCCAAACAATATCAAACGTCCAAATGGCCTTAGGCTATCTTAGAGTTTTAACTCTCCTACTCTACTTACCTTACAGTCCAGCCTAAAGTGAACTATTTGCATACCAAATAGATAACATATTCTGTACCTCATCTTTATTCAAAAATATTTCTTTTACTCTGACTGCCACTGTACATGACCCTATCCTGTATCTACCTATAGAAGTTCCATTGTTTCATTCCTTCATTAATCTATTCAACATTATTTACTGAGAACTACTTTCCAGGAAATATTCTAGACACTAGAGCTTATGTTCATTCAAAATCAAACTTAGATCCTTCCCTCTTCTGGGTGCCTGGGTGGCTCAGTTGGTTGAGCGACTGCCTTCAGCTCAGGTCATGATCCTAGAGTCCTGAGATGGAGTCCTGCATCAGGCTTCCTACTCAGCAGGGAGTCTGGCTCTTCCTCTGACCTTCCCATGCTCATGCTTGCTCTTATTCTCTCTCTCTCTCAAATAAATAAAATCTTTTTTAAAAAGTTTAAAATTGTTCCCTCTTCTTAAGTACTATTTGAACCAATAATATTTATTACAGTCCTATTGTATTATATGTCTGTGTGTAGATAATACATATATTGCATATTATATATAGGTAATAGAAAGATTGAGGATAGATCAGTCTGATACCCTCCCCAAATCATAAACACATAAAGGTTTGTTTCTAGTTCCATTCACATCAATACTACTTAGCACACTGCTTTACATAATAAGACATATCATCAATAAATGTTTGTTGATTCAGTTCCATGGCTTTTAACACATGGTCACGTCCAAGATCCTTATTCTGGCACTTAAAATCCACCACAATCTATCCTCAGTTTACTTTTCTAACTTTATGTCCCACTGTTTCTCCTTTATGAGTCTCCTATTCCACGAAACTTCTCTATACATTATCACCTAAAAATACTGCGAATTGTCCCACCTCCATTATTTCTTGTTGTTAAACTCTGCCTTTGAATTGCCTCTTCTCTCTGCTTATTAGAATTATCAAATCCTTCAAAGTCTCCTGAAGTCTCTCCCCATTACCATAAAGCCTAACCTGATCAGTCTGCACCAGGTCTCCCTCCAAATCTGAAATTTCATTGCATGAATGTACGCTTATCATTTCCTTCACATCTTTTTTTGACTCTGTATTGTTAGAAAGGCAACCATATGTTGCATTTTGCCCAGACCTGTCCTGATTAACACATGTTGTACAAATGGGATGCACTCTTTCACTCTCAAAGTATCCAAGTCTGGATGATGAATTACAGAGTTATGTTACTTATTAATGACCTTTCCATATGTGTTCTTAATCTCCTTAAATACATTTTAAGTTCTTTTGAAGTAAAAGTCTGTTTCATCCTTCTTATATCCTTTTCTGCATTCAATCAATATTTGAAATAATACTTGAATGAATGAAAAAATTAATGAAACAATAAATACTTTACTCAATACTTCCTTTCTTTAAAAAAGGATAATATAGGGTCGCCTGCTGGCTTAGTCAGTGGAACATTCAACTTCTGATCCTGGGCATGTGAGTTCGAGCTCCACACTGGGTGTAGAGATCACTTAAAAATAAAATCTTAAAAAAAAAGAAAAAAGATAATACAATAGAATACATAGAAAACTTAGAATTGAGAAAAATTTACATGTGAAAATCCATAAAAACCTGTATTTAACAGACTATTCTCTGCTCTTATTCCCTCTGGCACCACATCTTTATTTCCACCCCTACTTCCTGCCTACAATGAATCTGCCCATCACACTTGGCCTTTGGCACACTGCCCATTCTGTTTCCAAAAGGTGTCATCACTCCTTGTCCGTTGCTACTGTTTGACCATTACTTCAAGTTTTTACGTTGGACAAAAATAATTTGAACAAACCAGAAATGCAAATACATGAAAGCCAAACAGGCAAGCGTCTACTCTATTTTTTAAGTTATAACATTTAACATGTTAAAATTCAGATACTCCCTTATATCTGAATTCCATGTTTACCAGTTATATACCTGAAAAATCATTTTGTTGACCCCTCATTTTTTATTTGTATATGTCTAGTGAGAAAATTAAAATTCCTTAAAAATCAAAAATCTCTAAAACAATATACTATGTTATCATTCTTTAAGGCAGACTTACTTTTTAGCTTCACCTGGTTTTTCAAAAAACAAAGTATCCAAGGAAAACAACGAGTCATTTGATTTCAGCATTGTTAAAGACTGGACTGTGTCATAAATCTACAAAAATGTAGAAAAAGTAGTTTATATTTTATTCATAAAGCTGTAGAAAAATATTTCTGGATACATAAACTATAATCATTAATTTCCTAGAATAACCACAGACTCTCTTCCCAGCTGCATCTTCAGCAGCTTCCTCCACAGTGCCTCAATATTCAAATACATTATTCTCTATTCTCCACTAATTCTCCACTAATTCATGCATATTCACATCTGTACCCTTCTCCTCATACTGCACCAATGCTTAGAATGTGCTTTCTTCCATTTCTTCTCTACCTGGCAGATCCCTACACATCCTTCATGTATAGGTCAAATGTCATTTCTTCTTCAAAGGCTTCTCTGAGTTTGTCCTGTTCTTCAAGGCAGAATTAATCACTCCTTTTGGGCTCTTAACACTTTGTCCATACCATTATTTTTGATTTAGGATAATGCATTTTATGGTGAACGTGTGTGCCTCTAACAATATGCCAGATACATATACAGAGGTTTGCTTCAAAATAAATGGGGAAAGGTAAGGGGGAATGATAAAATAAGATTGGCAATGAGTTGATAATTGCTAAAGCTATATAATAGGTACATGTAGTTCATTATAACTTTCTGTCAATTTTGTATATATGTTTGAACTTTTCCAAAATAAAAAAATTTTCAAGTTTAACATATATATGTATGTTTACATTCATATTACATAACATGTACATAGAAATGCTTACATTCCTTTTAAAAAAGCCAATTTTTACATTCAGATATGGTACCTAAATATAAAGGATAAAAACATTTAGCATTGGCCACATGGGACTAGAATAAAATTCTAGGGCTGAACAAAGCCTCAACTTTGATAGGAGACTGAAGAACCATTTCTATAGACACATACATTGTTCCATTCACGTTGCCATTCTTTCCCCTGCATATCCACACCACATCCCAATTTTTTTCCTCAATTCTGTAACATGATAGAAAATTCTATATAACAAAACATGAAATAGATGCACAAATCATAAAACATAAGTCACGCTTCTATTTACTCTGTGAATTTACACTGCAAATCTTTCCTTAGGATAGAAACTAAAATCAAAGAAACTATATGAGTGCCATCTTGTGGAGAAATCCATACTATCAGGTCAGATCATGCCCCTTCAATTTTAAATCCTCCCAAAGGTGGGGATGAGATACCTGTGGGACTATGTGACACCCCTTGACAAAACACTACTGGTAAGAGGGCTAGATCTATGTATATCTTAAGACTGTTCTTAGTTATCCAGAACTTTTGGGATTTTTCATTGTTCTAGTCATTGGCGTTTTTCTCCCTTCCATCTGTTTAACTTAATTGTCCTCTTTTTTTTTTAATTTATTAATCACCTAGTCACCAACCAAAAGAAATAGTGAAGTTGAAATATATTAGCAATTGTTCTAAAACAATTGACTATATTAACAGTAGAAACCCAAGATAACAGGGAGGGAGACAGAAGGGAGTCATTAAAAAATATGTTAAAGGAGTCCTTAACATCTTTAAGTAAACAATTTCAGAACTTGAAAATAATTACCTGATAAAGTATAAATGAACATGCTAATCATGTTGCTATACTATGCAGACAGGAACAGATAGGGGCTCCTGGGTTGGCTCAGTAGGCTAAGCCTCTGACCCTTGATTTGGACCCATGATCTCAGGGTCCTTAGATGGAGAGTGATGCTCTGCACTCAGCAAGAAGACTGCTCCAGAGTCTCCCTCTGCCCCTCTCCCATCCCTCCTGGTTCAAGGGCAGAGGCTCTTTTTCAAAATAAATAATTTTTTTTTTTTTTAAAGTAACAAAATGTTCCCTTTCTCATCTCAGGAAAACTATATAAATTTAAAGAAACAAAAAAAGTTTTCAAAATTAAAACCCACTGGACCACTTTTATATATGGCTTTGCTACCTCAGAATTTACTAGAAAACTGTGTGACTACATAATTTGTCTGTTGAGAAAGCGTGCGCTTTATCTAATTATCTTAGTGACAATTTAGCATTTTCTTATCTTCTATAATGCTTACTATATAAATTTTTCTGATCTATTAGTCATTCCTTACGACTTGTACTCTCAGAAACTTTTTTTTTTTAAGTGCCAAAACTCAGATATAAAATACTGATTTGAAATAGGTAGTGAATGGAAGCCGAGACCAACATTCACTCGAAAAACCAATCATGACAAAGATCGCAGGGAACCTGACAAGGTAAAAGAATAAACAAGAAAAATTACCCTGGTCTCCGAGCCTCGGACAGGGAGGGGTCCCTACCAGTCGGGGAGGGAAGTGGGGGGTGGGCATCTCCATCACCCGCCCCGGGGTACCCGGCGGGCATGCCGGGAACCGAATCAGCCCCCCCCGCCCCAATTCCTGGGGAACACCCTAATTCCAAGCAAACCCATCCAATACCCCCAGGCGCCAGGGAGAAGCCGTCAGGACCCGCGTGTGGCCCGCGCCCGGAGGGCTGGAGCCGGTCGCTCCCCCCCCCCACACCCCCGACGTCTCCTTCCCACCGCTGGAAAACAAGGTGGCTACAGTACACACGCACGCTACACCTGCAGCCGCTCAGGGGGCAAGACACACCCAGACACAAACACAGTGGGTCCGGGAACAACCAAAACAAAAGCGGAGTCAGCCCAGCTCCTTCAGCTCCGCAGACGCGCGGTCCTCCCGCCAGCCCCACCCGCGCGAGCGGCCGCCCCGCCCCGAGCGCCTCAGGCCTCGCCCAGTTCCTGAGAGAAACGCGGCGAGGACCGGCGCGGCACGGGCCGGGGCGGGCTGTCCTCAACTCACCGCGCCCGCCAGTCCCCTGAGAGCGGCTCGGTGATGAAGGTCGGCCGCTGTCGGGACGATCGACTGTTCCACCTCCCCGCGGGATCCCGGGTCTGCGGTCCCAACTTTCCCCCTGGAGACGTCCGGCCCGGCCCAGCTCCTCACCCGGCAGCGGGACTCTCAGTTCTCGGAGCCGAGCGCCTATTCACCCGCCCCTTCGAGGCCCCCCAGACTGGCTAAATGAGCTCCAAGCAATGGATCAGCGGGGGTCTCCGACTTCCTTCCCGCTTCACCTTTTTCCTCCAAAAGTAGTTAATTAGGCTTGAATATATTGCTCTCCCAGTATACAGTGGCCTCTTCTCATTAAATAAAGCGCTTAAGGCTTCCCCCAGCACCTGGTAACTCCTGTGCTACTTGCCCTATGAATGTGCCTATTCCAGGTAACTCCTGTAAGTGGAATCATACAGTATTTGTCCTGTGTCTGGCTTATTTTATTCAGCATGGCTTCAGAGTTCATCATTTGTAGCATGTATCTGAATTTCATTCTTTTTTAAACTTGAATATTCCATTGTGTGTATGTACTACATTTTGTTTATCCACTCGCCTGTGGATAGACCTTGGTGTAGTTTCCACCTTTTGGCTATTGTGTTACAAACACTGGGGTACAGATATCTGTTTGAGTCCCCGCTTTCAGTTCTTTAGATATATACCTAGGAGTGCAATTGTTGAGTCTATGGTAATTCCAAGTTACACCTTTTGAAAAACCACCAGACAGATTTTCCACAGCTGCTGTATCACTCCCACTAATAATGCAAGAGGGCCCAAATTTCTCCACATCCTTGCCAGCAAGTTATTTAATATTTTTTAAAAATTATAGCCATCCTATTAGATGTGAAGTAATATCTCATTGTGGTTTTCATTTTCACTTCCCTAAAGACTAATAATATCTTTTAATGTGCTTAACAGCCATTTTGAATATCTTCTTCAGAGAAATATCTATTCAAGTCCTGGGCCAATTTTTTGTTATGTATCTTTTTACTATTGAATTGTAGGAGTTTTTTAAAAACATATATCTATTATGGCTATTTGTCCCTTATCAGATGTAAGATTTGCAAATATTTTCTCCCATGTAGTAGGTCTTCTTTTTGTTTTCTTGATAGTATCCTTTGATGCACAAAAATTCTTATCATTTTTTTCTTTATTGTCTGTGCTTTTTGTTATATCCATGAAGTCATCGCCAAATCCTATGCCACAAAGATATTTCTGCAATGTTTTCTTCTAAGAGTTTTATAGATTTAGCTCGTAAGTTTAAGTCTTTGATCCTTTTTGCTCCAACAGACCAACAAGTTTTATTCATGTGGATTAGGGTTACTAGAGGGCCTATGTCAAATAAAAGAGTTGGGGGAGGGGATATAGTTTCCAGAAAGATTGGAAGAACTTGAAAGACAAAAGATAGGTGTTCATGACACAAGAACAAAATATATTTCTGCTAATACAACTGATGTCAGGGATTCTGACTCAAAAATTCAACATAACCAAACTTTTTTCTACTTTGTAACCTCCACTCTGTTTAAACTCTGATCAAGAGGAATTGACTTTGAGAAGTTAGTGCTGATGGCTCTAGAGCAGGTGGAACCAAGAAATGTTTCAGGACTATTTTTCTCTGGGTGACAGCCAGAAGTGTGTTCTGCTATTGTCAGACGTGGAAAAGAAGAGGTAAAGAGATCATTTGGGAGAATCTGAAAATTGTAGAATTAATGTCTGAGAAAAGGAAAGAGAAGGGAAGGGAATGGAGAGGTAGGGAAGGGAAGGGAAAGAAAGGAAACAAGTGTAGTCTGATATGACCGGATCCTTGGGAAGAAAGATAACTTTAGGGAGTCATGCATAATTCTGTGTAGCAGAGTCCAATGCTATTTATGCATTTAGTAGGTGCATAACTAGCAAAACGATAAATGAATAAAGACCAAATCAATGGATAACTGTTCTTTAGGGAAAGATGTATTAAATCTCAATGTAACCAAGAAAATAGTAAACAAAAATTGATTAGAAAGTAATTCCTTGGGCACCTGGGTGGCTCAGTTGGTTGAGCATCTGCCTTCGGCTCAGGTCATGGTCCCAGGGTCCTGGGATCAAGTCCCGCATTGGACTCCCTGTTCTGCAGGGAGTCTACTTCTCCCCCTGCCCATCCTCCCATGTGTTTTCTCAATCAATCTCTCTCTCTGTCTTTCTCTCTCAAATAAATAAATAAATAAAAATTTTTAAAAGTCTTAAAAATTAAAAAAAAAAGAAAGTAATCCCTTGAGTTCCAGCTGTTAAGGAGTATGTTTAATGATGATGTACAAGATCCTAAGACCCATATTTCAATTTGTTTGTTTTTCAGGAAAAAAATGACTTGTCCAGCTAAAATGAACTTAAAATATCTTCTGTTCTCCAAAGCCAACAATGTTGATTTTTAATGGGACTGTCAGGCAGGGTGCTCCAGTTAGACCCTGAACTGAAGCATCCCACTGACACAGCCAGCCAGAGAGTATTAGTACAAAGAATATAAGCCTTCCATAGAAATCAGTAGATAAAGATTCAGTATTCAATAATTATTCTTTATGTAATTGCATTATAGTGTCTAAAATATGGTAACATAATCCTTGAAGTAAGAAGTGAACAACCCAGGACAGAAACTTAGGGACAATGAGCAGTATTCCACACTAGAATGAATGATTTCCTAATTAAAAATTGATGCCAGTTCCTAAAAGAGGAGTAAGTGGAAACTGATAACCAGTGTATAGTCTCTATGAATACTTGAATTTAAATTTTTATAATAAACTGCATACACTTTTTCTTTCAGTATGTACTAGATTTAATCTTCTGCCATGGTAATGTCTGTCAGCAAATAGGAATTAACACATTCCTTCAAGTGGTTAGTATGTAAATGTGGTAGACTTCATCGGACTGTTATAATCAAGGTTCTGGCATCCAGAAGCATATAGCATCTTAATGAAACATAGAATATATTATTCCTGAAAAAATATTATTTGAAGGAATTTTATAAGCCATTGTAACATTTTTAAAGATATTTAATGTCAGGAATCAGAGTATAAAACAGATTTTAAGAACAGGCATTCTTTGTTTTTTTTTGTTTTGTTTTGTTTTTTAAGGTTTTGTTTTGAAGTCATCTCTATGCCCAACATGGGGCTCAAACTCACATCCCCAAGATCAAGAGTCGCACGCTCTTCTGAATGAGTCAGCTATGTGCCCCTCTGTTTTGTTTTTTGTCTAAAGACAAAACAATAATTGGCAAGATCTTACAGTAATATAATCAAAAATTAATTAATATTGTTTATATGTAGTTTAGAAATAGGATAATTTCTAGAGGTTATATAATTTTGTAGTTAATAAAGAGATTTGCAATGATACAAGTAATCAGTTAAGATACTAGACAGATTTGGGTATGGACAGAATTAAAGAAATGGGAAACACCATAAAGAAATGCTTCTGCCTAGAATCCCTTCCAAAAAGGGAGTGTGATGGGGGAATTGGTAAGAGATGCTATAGCAACTGGCACATAATTATTCATTTGTGATATATGTCAAGTTATGGTGCATCAAAGCATGGGTTAATCTCATGTTTAAATATGTCAAAGCATTGAGAAAGCACAGTGCACATGATAGCATATATTTTAACATCCTGGATGACCCCTGGAATAAAGTTGAGAGTGCTGTATCCATGTCTGCCCAGAATCTGAAGCCACTGCAAAGAGAAATAGACGAATCCGTTTTCTCACAACAGCTCCCACCGTTAATTATCACCAGAGAAGGAAAGAAAATAAATCTAAAGATATTCTCTAGAAATTCTGGCTGTTCATGGCTCCTGCAAGTTCTGGGAACACAGAATAGATTTCTAGAGGAAGAGTAGGCATATTGAGATACACAAGGAACAATAGTAGCTCAGTGCTAAGGTTAGGGCCCCCTCCGTCCCAGTGCTGGGCACTCCAAGGAAGACTCATTCCCATGGAGGGACCAGCAAACTCAGCAAGAAACAGCAAGAGTAGCCATGGGGATGAGGCTGTGGAGGAGAAGCAGCTCAGCAGTGCTCACAGTGTCTGGCCCCAACGAAGCCATCCAGAGTGAAAGGTACTGCCTTGAGAGAGATCTGCTGGCCTCAGAACAACACGTTGCCCAGGCAGAGGCAGTGATATGAGCAGCAGAACTGTGACCATGGCTTCTGCAGCAGCTCTAAAGTAGGAACTGTGAAATCAGCCAGGACAGTGAGCCTGGCTTATGGAAAGTATATGCTATTTGTGAAGGTTAATAAGACTGATGGCAAAAGCCAGGAGAGTTGATAAAGCCCCGCCCTCCAGCTCTCATCTGGAGACTGTTGGGTGCAACTTGTCAGAGAAGCTGGATTCTGACAATAACGGAACACCACTGCAGAGCGGTAATGTGTTTTGTTGTCTTTGAGGGGGGAAGAATTACATACATTATTACCTTGCTTTATCTAATTCAGATTAGTGACTCATGAAAACACCAGTGTCACAACAAACTTTGCATAGCACCCTACAGTTTGCAAACATCTATTCATTTAACCCATGGGGTTAATATCTGAGAATTCATGCGAATGTGTGTGTGCAAGCCTGAGTGAATGCATAAGAGAGTAGATGCATTGCATGTGTGTGTTATGGGAAGGGGAGTGGAACCAAGTAGATGGAAAACAAATAATATATTTAAGTGGAAGGAATATTATCCTCCCCTAGTCAGTAGAGACATGTGGGTTGAAACAAGTCCAATGAAATTAAAACTCTCAGCCTAGGAAACACCAAGTCAGATAAGTGAGTGATAAATATGAAAGTGAAATGAGGTGATGTGAACTGTTAGAACCTTTTCAGATACCTATGGAATAAAACAGCTGTCAAATTATAAGTTCTTATTGAATACTAGGAACTTTATTCACCTATTTTATGTATTTCCTGATTAACAGAACACTTAAAACATGCTCTCCTAGGGGAAAAAAATTACAGAATTAACTCCGAGAGGAAGTCCTGCCAAGCCCCACAGCCTGTGTTCACACTTTTTATTCCATCCATACGTGTAGAAATGGGCAAGAAACCCGCAGGAAATTTTTTCCAGCAAGATGCTTCATATCACAGGTCATTTAAGGA